CCTAATTCGCAAACACGATACTCTAGTTAAAACTCTGAATTCTACAAAGCCATCCGAGTAAAACTAAATTATTCCTCGGATAACTTCGTCAAAGCGATCGGCGTAGCAGTTACCTGGGTTTGACTAGCCGGGGAGCTGGGTCGGCAGCAGACGTACAAGACGAAAACTACGGGTATTGCTAAGACGAGGATGTACACTCCCCACAGGACCGGGTAGTCGTTTGTTAAGTTTGCTAATTTCTGGATTAAGCTCTCCTAATGGAAAAGAGAAATGGCTCGATGACTTACTAGCGTCTACTGCGGGTGAATATCGATAAAGTCGTTTCCAGTACCGATAAGGTCAAATACAAAATCAAACGTAATATAACACTTTTAAAATGACAATAACGGCTTGGATCGTCATGTCTCATTGAAATTCCTAAAAATTGTATGAAAGTGGAGAAATGTTTTATTAAGGGGTTACACCACTGTCAAATTTTCAAAAAATCGTTTTTTTTTTTGCTTAAAAGGTAGTTTGAACCTTCTAGAATATGAGCAAAAGCTTTTATAGTGTACGCGGGAGCGCAAATGGCTCCATCTGTCGTGCGAACTTAGCATCTAGTCGCTAAAGTAATTATGTATTTTTTTACACAAAACAATCAAAAATGAAAAAACTACTACTAAAAAAATAAATAAATACAATAAAAAGCACTGAAAACGACCCTACCTCCAAGAGAATTAAAAAAATAACAGCAAATCAGCGTATAAAAATACATCGAGCTTATCGTACAGCCTACCGCATTTCAACTGGACAATTACCTCTTTAACCGTACGATACAAATAATAAACGTAAAACGCAAGTGGTATCGCGCAGTACACCGCGTAGGCCGCCCAAGCCTTGGGCTTGTAGTTCATCGCTTTCATCATCTTACCCCACAAGGTGGACTGTAAGTGAACGCCGATTGAAATTAAACAGAAATAATAGGGCTTTAAACAAAATAAGATTTTTTAGCTAGCGCCCCACATTTACTTCGAGGCAAACAAATTCGAAAAATTTTTAGAGAAAAAAATATGAGAAATAAATTTTTTTAAATAAAAAAACTTTAAAGGTTATTATCAGAATTTTTTTATTACATCTGAATCGCTCCGATATTTATCGAGCGTGGAGATAATTGTAGTCCGACTAATTGATAATGTGACCTTGATGATAAAGCAAATCCTTTCAGCTTGCAATAAAAAATTTATTCAATGGTTATCACGAATAAAAATCAAGATTGTTCATTTCCCGAACAATGCAAGAAGATTGTTCGGTTATAAAAACTACAAGTTAAAATCCTATACTATGTCGACGTTTCGATTTATTTTAAAATCTTTACATTATTTTCGGCAACGATTCTCATTAACATCAACAATTTTACGTGTTTGATGTTACAAATTCTATTATCGAGAATTTTCTGTGCTGAAATGATTTTAAAATNATACGAGAATTTTTACAAAGTGAAATCACTTTTTTGTTAACGTTTCAAAACTTTTTACTCACCGAGTCCTTGGCGATCTTCTGACGTTTCTTGTCGAACGTATCGGCCGCCCACTTCTCGGCAACTGCAATCTCGTCGGTGATGATTATGTTGTCGAAGAGGATGTCCTTCGACATAGACCACAGTTCGAAACCAACAGCCGACTGTAAAAGACAGTACAGCTTTGAAAAGTTCCATTTACGAGGTTAGAATCGATACCTCGCATGCAGCTGCACTAAATCGTATCGAAAACAACAACTGAAGAAGAATTTGGTGCCAAGGATACTATTTATAACTCCAGGGCAAATATAAATAACAATTTTAGCATGAACGTGTGCTGGTTCAGACAAGCGATACGATTGTTGGGCGTTCCCGTGGTTTCTCTTGGATGTTCAACTTTTGGAACCCGAGTATACACACTTGCCTGCCTCTTTTTATATTACCTTCTTGCGCAGACGGGCGCACCTTGAGCTCTCTCGTGTCATTTAGTTAATTAAAAATTTAAAAAAAACACAAGGAGCGCGAATATTGGAAACAGGCAAATAAATTTCTTATTTTCGCTAAACCCAAAATAAAAAAATATACACAGTACAAACATGAAATAATTCTAAACTGCATCCATCCACCTCATTATCTCAGTTATTAATAGAGATACACAATTAAACTTAAACGTGCTAACAACTAAAAAATCAGTGACAATCACGTTTTTTAACGTACTTACTTATTTTAATTGCAAAATTGTAATTTTTAAATTATAAAAAAATTGCTACCGACCAAAACTTACCACTGTATGCATCTTAAAGGGTTCCCTGTCCTCGAAGAACTCCGGGTTCGCGATCTTCCTCGGCCTCCACTTGCCTTTGTAATTGGGATTGTCGATCATGGGCGGCCGCCATTTGCCCTTGAACGCGGGATTATTTACCAACGGTGGCTCCCAAGGTCCGCACCCCGGTGCAGTTTCGCAGACGGGATTCTCGATCAGCGGCGGCTCCCATTCCCCGTCCATATCGGAATCCCAATCTTCCGGTTTTACAGCGTTCGGGTCCGGAATGTGAGTGGGCTCGTTCTCTAGCCATCCGTCGGGCATGACGGCCGTCTCGTCGATCACCTGGGCCGGCGCGTCTTCGTCCCAGTCGTCGGGCTTCTTGGCGTCCGGATCTGGAATTTTCTCTCTAAATAGAAGGCAAATGTCGTCGTTAATGAAAGAAAATTTCCAAAAACTGCTGGTTCGGCAGGTGAGGAAACGGTTTTAATTTAATCGTCTCCAAACCATAAAAATTTACCGAAATTTGCAAAAGAGATCCTTGAGGTGCACCTGACCATCTCGAGATAAATTTATATTCAGTCTAGAAGAGGACCATAAACACCAAGTAAGGATTAAAATTATGATTTAACTATGAAAGCCTTCGAAAACAATCAAACACGTAAGAATCAGTATTTTTGTACTTATTTCTTACCTCTCGTCCCAATCCTCAGGTTTCTTGTCGTTGGGATCATCAATTTCCCGCGCGGGATTGACAGGAGGCACGAAGTCCTCCAGTAAGCTTCCCGAATTAACAACATTCTTATCGACGGATATTTCGAAGGTGCTATCTGGATTTAAGGCGAGCGTATAAAGATGAGGTAATTTATCAGAAAAGATCTCCTCCAGCCTCTCCTTGGGCTTCTGACAGTGTTTTTCCTCGATGGTACCGTTACGAGGGTTCTTATGCCTGAATATGAAATGTAATTTGTGATCGTTGCCACACTTATCCGGCCCGAACATGATCGTGTAAGGCGTCTTGTCGTGAAAGCTGTTGAGATTTTTAGTTTCCTTGCTCTCGCTCAACAACTTCAAATAAGCACCTCCACACTCCTGGCCGTCTTGCAGTAAGACCTCGTACTGCACGATCAACGGTTTTTTATCAAAGACGAAAGGTTTCAGTAAGTTCGAAGCGATAGCGGCATGTTTAGCCTTGGATTTAAGTACCAACCCCCTGTCGCCTGGAAGGTTATCCTTTTGAGAAGGTTCAAGAGCCCATATTCCGTCGTACTTTGCTATGTCCTCCTCCAAACCTTCTTTTTTAGCCTGCGATTTTATCCACAGCTTCTCGAACCTCGCGGGGTCATCGAAATGTTCCGCGAAGTAGACCGGTGTTGGATCGGATATTTTCGGGCTCTCATAAGG